CGCTCATTTCGCTCGGGCGAGATGAGAAACTCGTTCCATAGGTTCCCTTCATTCCGTTGCACCGCGCTTGCCTTTTCATATTAAGTGAAATCCTTGGCGCATCGATGTGTCAAGGCCGCTCAGGCTCACCGCTCATCATTTCGGCAGCGCGAAATGATATAAGCGCCGCGCTTGGCGTGGCTGGGGCGGCGAATGAGTTCCATGGGGTGCCCAGAGGTGGGGGCATGCCCCCAACACCTGGTCCTCGATCACTGCGGTTTCTGGTGTTGGCATCGGCCGACGTGGGCAGTGGATTGAGGTACGCATCAGAATCCTTCCTGTTGGCTCCTCCTAGTGCTAGCATTGTGTTCGTGGTCGATAGTGCCTCCGGCTAGTCGTTGGGTTCGGCGATGAATTCGAGCACTGTCTTGCCACTTCCGTGGCACTTTGAGTGCTATTGGTCACAATCATGGCCCCGGGTCTGTGCTATCGGGAACTCGTCGGAGTGCAGGTTTCAAGAAATGACTGACGTGGCCCTTACCACATTGTACTTGCGTTGAGCCTCAGCATGCTCGCCCCACCTGACCTTTCGGTAAAAGTGCGCGACACGAAGCCACAGGTGCAGGCTTTCAAGTATACTAGATACGTGCCTGCCTGTGCGTTGAACCGGAGCCATAATTTTTTTTTTTACTAAACCTCACACGGACGACCTCTGTGATCATTGTTATTTACCTCCGTAGATCTGACTTGTTAAGTCTCTAGATTTCATATGAAATGTCTATAACGCTTATTTTCTTTTTTCTTTTTTATTCCTTTTTTCTTTTTTTTCTTATTCTCTCTCTCCAGTATCCTATATCCCCATCGGCTGTTGCGGGACACTTCTCTGGCATCTCCTAACCGTACAGGACCGGGACACCATCTCGCGCATGGGATACTCCTCCGCGTACCGCAACAGACACCACTCCATCCCCGCGCTGACCTCGTGCCCCTACCCTTGCTGGCCTCCTCGTCCTGCGGCGTTTGTTCCAGCGGCAACGGCACCCCCTGGCCCTGGCAGTCTATGGCCTCCACGCCCGCACGTCCGTCCACATCAGACATTTTGACTCGGAGTCGATTTCGTTTCCGTATTCTCTTGTGGAAATCGTTGATGCAATTCATGCTTGATTTTCTTTCCTTTTTATTATTCTTTTGTTTGCTAGCAACGCTTGATTTTCTTTCCTTTTTTGCCTTCCTGATTTGCTATGGCGGTGATGAGGATTGAGCTGATCGCATGGAGCGAGTGCATGTTGCCTTCCTGATCTCATCGCATAGAGCGGCTTTGGTGTCGCAGCTGTGGATGGAATAGTTATGAATGTTTTAGTTGTAGAGATTGGTCCCTTCTCTCATCAGATTACTATAATATCCATTTGCAGTTAATATTGTCATGTTCGTTTAGCTGAAATTTGGCTTATGCTGATGCCTATGCTGATTTATTATGAGAGTAAAACACTGTTCGTTCACTGAAAAATACTGATGAAGTAGTTCAAGCGAACATGCAGACTCGCATATACATCATATACATACATATATTATTACTTGTACACAAATGGTTTTTTCTTGAAAAAGTAGTGCATTTCAAAACTGAAATTACTTATCCTCAGGTTAGACATGTGGAGTACAGGCAACCATTTAGAGCAGCTGCAAGTATAATGATCAGACTGATTCATATAAAGTTATGGATTCAAAATTAATTTTGTAAAACAACTACTAAATAAACCAAACACTATGCCTGAATCCAGCTGAACATATATCTTGACATATGGAAAACACTGTGTTGGTGGGTTCCTACACAAGTACCGGAAGAATTGTGCAACGTATCCCACTCCACCGCACAAGGAAAACAACATGTTTGTGACTCCTTGGTTACTGGGAACAAACAAAAGGACAAGCACGACTGGATCAAAGTCAATGTTGATCGAGCTTTCAAGATTCAGCTAGGAGAGGGGGAGCAATTGGCATCATTATTAGGGATGAAAACGGATCGGATACGAACGGATATTACTGATATTACATTTGTTTTCATATTTCAGTCCGGATTCGGATTCGAATGCGGATAGTATCAATCATGCCAGATAAGATACGATTGGATATCGACATCAGAAATATGCGGTTTCAGTATTTGGACACGGATGCGGTATCGGATGTTGAATATCAGAATTCGGATACGGACAGATCTAAACCCTTCTAAACGAATTCGATCTCGAATATGGTCGGAAAATATCTGTACCGTTTTCATCCCTAGTCATTATCCATGATTACTATGGACAAGTCCAACTGACGGGATCGAGATTTTTTTGTTTCAGGTTTGTTCCTTTTGTGGTCTGAGTACAAACTAAGGAAAATGCTAACATGAAAGCTATGCATAAGCTGAAGGAGAAGATTTGTTGTTTGTTGGATGTTTGTTTGCTTCTCTGAACTTTGTAGGACTGCTACAGAATTTGGTACTGATGATTGGGCTGGTCCGTGGCCCATTACCATCTAAGTCGCGCCCAGCGAAACAGGGTTTTTGTAGGTAGTGGGCCCCCCAGCAAGGTTGTAGGCCATTGCAGGAGCCTCCTCCTCGTTGTAAGCTCCCAGATAGACTGTTCATGATCAAGGTTTGATCAGATCATCTGCTATCTTTTTTTTGTTCCTGAAACTGAAAGGAACCCCTGATGATCCAGAGCACCTACTTCTTCCGCGGTGTCGGATTCCACGAGTTCTTTGTCCTATAGATGCGCTTCAAAACGAAGCATATTCTGACGCTGGTAAACTGTGGAGCTTGTGAAGCGCATCACACGTCAATTGGAAAGAAGCATAAGTGTCTCAGTGATTGTCGGAGTTTTGAAAACCGACTAGTAAATTTTTCATCGTGCTGCTCAAGAGAGTCGATAGCTAGCAATAAGGACACTGAGAAATTATACTGGTTCGGGACGAGACCCTACATCTAGTGCCGGGGACTTGCGAGTACGTGTTCCTCAATGTCAAAGTACTCGAAACAGCTTACAACAGGAGGTATGCAAGTTAGGGTTCTACTAGTAGAAGAGATTCAAGGTAGAGAAAAATCTCGAACCTCCTCTGGAAGAGGGTCTGGCCCCTTCTATAGCCATGGGGCCAGGTTACATGCACAAATGTTGGGTTCTACCGGCCCGAGTGACCAGAAGCCCAAGGGAGGGAGAAGCTAGTTTGCTGGGTTGGCAAGCCTGCCGATTTTGTCAGCATGTCCGGGTATGGTCGTCGTGAGCTTGCTCCTTACGCCAAGGCATGGCGTACGGCGTCGACACTATTCCGACCGTGGCGGTGCCATGGGAGTGGTGGTTGTTCACCAACTCCCCGCTTCGACATGGGTTCGCCATGGTGCGTCCGCCGTTCGGGGAGAAGTGGTGATGTCATCATACGGGAGAGTGGCTATCCCATCGTGGGTTGCCGCTCTTGGGTCGCGGCCCCGCTGCCCCGATCTCTTGTGGCTGGGTCGGGGCATAGGATCCGGTCGAAATGGGAGAGATGGCTCCCGGTCGTGATTCCCATGCCGTAGTGGTTGGGATCGTGACGCCTGCATGCATTAGGCTGGACGGGTTTTGGGCGGTCTTTGTGTCACGCGGGTAATGCAATCTGAGTCCTGGTGTTGTCTTATCTGTCGCCGAGGCGCCGACCGAGGTGATTGACACTTTATCCTAGGGCTCAGGGCTCCTCGACAAGCGGGGTCGTCCTCCCCTGTATCCAATGGAGTGCGTGTGAGCGTCCCGTCCGGGCAGATGTACTGACGCTGGCTCTGTCTACCTCTCGTCCTTTACTTAGCGGCTAAGGCAGGAGGTGGTCGAGGAGCACCGCTTTGGTGCAGGTCGAGAGGTGGGAGAGGTCGTGGCGGGCCTCGTACTGCTCGAGGGTGAGAAGTGGTTTCGCTGAGCTATGATCAGTCGGACTGTCATGGGTGACTCTCTATCCGTGTCTTGGGGTTACCCCGTTTTCATGCCCCCGACAGTGATCCATCAATAATTTCAAAACAATGCATGTATATGACGTTGACCTGATTATGAGCATTGGTGGAGTACATGACCATGTAACACGTACGAATGCTATAAAGATGTAATATTCACATTGTAATTTTTACCTGAAATACATAAGGCACGCTGGCTGTTTCGAAATTTGTTATGCAAGGTTGTTTGCGCCGAAAATAATTACACTACTATGTGATTGTTTCTCATAATGATTTACAAAAATCTAGATTGTCAAGATAATATGCAGAAATTAACCAGAAGAATACGAGAGGATGTAAGACGAGAGAAACTCTTGTGGTATTTAAATTCAAAGGCTAAAGTTTATGGTGTCGTATAGGGCTGTCACATCGAGTGTTCGGATAGTAATAATAAAATAAATTACATAAGTCCTCAGTAACCCGCGAGACGAATTTATTAAGGCTAATTAATCCATCATTAGCGCATGTTTACTGTAGCACCACATTGTCAAATCATGGACTAATTAGACTTAAAGAATTCGTCTCACAAGTTAGTTTCAATCTGTGCATTTAGTTTCATAATTAGTCTATACTTAATACTTTATGCATGTGTCAAAAATTCCATGTGATTATAGGGGCTAAAGTGCAGGAGTGGGAAATAAATACAGCCTCTGAACAGCAGCCCTGTAGTATGCTTCTCTTGGAAGTCTTCCCGTGCGTGCAGGCCTCTAAACAGCAGCCCTGTAGAGCATCTCAGTGAGTGAGATGATTTGGCATCAGGTGCCCACAGCGTCGAGTGGGAATTTATTATTTCCGACGAGAGTCGCTTTGCACGCGCACGCCGCCTGCATCTTCTTCTTCACCATCTACGGCTGGGGTCGCCGTCAGGAGCAGCACTTCTGGTATGCGCATCCGATCCCCTTCCTTTCTCCTCCTCCGCCCCCTTCCTTCCTCCCGCGGATCGAGCCTTTAACCTCTCTCCGTCCTCTGTATCTGTTCGCAGCTAGCGCAGGTGGCAGGTCCCCCTCCCTCGCCTCCGCCCGCGGCGATGCCGGGTGGTTCCAGCTCGAAGAAGAGGAGCCGGAGGAGGCGCAAGCGCAAGCGGAAGCCGAACCCCGCGACGCAGCTCACCGACGACCTCCTCGTCGACATCCTCTCGCGCGTGCCGTACAGGTCCCTCTGCCGCTTCCGGTGCGTCTCCACTTGCTGGCGCGCGCTAATCTCCCACCCCGACTACAGGCAGGGCCGAGCCGGTAAAAATCGAGGCCATGTACCAAACTCTAAAATGAGGCTACCTCCCTAAAAAATATGACCGTAAATAAGATATATGATACATATCACACTAAGATATATCAAAAACCATACTTATTCAACTTTTGCTTTCATAATCTTTAATTGAAGTACTTCATTCTTTTAGTGTTCTTTGAAATGAAATCTTCAATGATATATGCTCATAATCAATCTTCTCCAGCAATCTACTCTCAAGTGCTATTGTAGCCAAATCATTAAGTCTTTGTTGTGTCATTGTCGAACGCAAATATGACTTCAATAGTTTCAATTTAGAAAAGCTTCGCTCTGCCGATGCAACGGTCACAGGAATGGTCAACAGAACTCTATATGCAATACTTGCATTGGGAAAACAGTATGCCGCTTTAGGAACTTTAGAATTTCAACAGGACCCATATTTTCTTTAGGAATGAAATCTTGAAGAAACTTCAACTCCATATATAATTCATTGGCATCAACATCAGATTTTCCGTCTTTTGTAAGGACAGCCCTAAGATTATCACAAGAAGATTTCATTGCCAATCCCTATCACAATGCTCTCCATTTGATAAAATTCTTGTATAAAATAGTGCAGAAAACCTTCTAGCATATCTATCCTTAGGACCTTTCTGAATTGATAAATCTCTTCTGGGGCCCTTCTCTGCTAAAATATCAATTTGTTTATGATCAAGGGAATCCCAATATCTAGGATCAAATATATCAGGCCGAAAGGAATCATTAACATCCGCAATTGGTGAAGTACTATTGGCCCCAATGTTATCAGCATTGTTATCCATTTCAATGTTTGCGTTATTAATAAGAACTTCCTCAACCCCAACAATATTTTCTGTCTCCATCTGACCATCTCTAGGATCATTGTCATCATTATTGGTGGACACTTGTGACTCTTTTCTAACAAATTTATCCATAGCCCCCTTTTGAGATTGAGTTAAATCCTCTATTCTTTGTTTTTTCTTACGCTTTTGGTAACCAGATTCATACTTTCTAGACCGATTTGCAGAAGACATGACTACAATCTTGTATCGAAACACTAGATAATCTAGAACCAGAACAAATATAACTAAACACCTAGATGGATCAATATTATATTAGTCATTATCCATCAATGTTGATTAAAATATTGAAAATTAATTGCATCAGAAATCAGATTAGTATACCGATATGCCGCGAGGCGCGAGACACGAGATGGACTGACGGATCACCGATCATGGACGAGACGGGATCTGCGAGACTGCGATGTGCGCGAAGTGCGATGGAGTCCTGCCGTCCTGGTGTCCTGCGGTCTGCAGATGCGTCCTGGATGCCGATGCGGCGCCTGGCGGCTGGCGTGATGAACTGATGAACTGATGATGCGGCCTGCAGTGCTGTACCGTCGCGGTACCTGTGCCTGCGATGCGAGACAGCGAGAGGGCCAGAGGGGCAGGGCATGCCGCTTGGCGCTTGGGGGCTTGGGGCCTTGGGCCTGGCCGCCTGCAGCCTGCCATGTGCCATCGATTTGGCCTACTATACACCTACAGGCCTGTACAGGACATGTACATCTATACCTATACTACACCTGACTGGTTGATGGGCCCCTCCTATTTGGGGGCCCTGTTCGACCGAACCGGCCGCACGTGCTTGTGCTTGGCCCTGACTACAGGAGGAGGCTCCCCCAGACACTTGCCGGCTTCTTCCACCCAATCCCCATCGCCGCCCTTGACGACGGCGGCTCCTCGGACTCGGAATCGACGCCGGTTCGCTACTACTTCACCAACGTGTCCGGGACCGGCCGCCCGCTCATCGACCCTTCATTCCCGTTCCTGCCCCGCCACGACCGGGACGTCGACCTGGAGGACAGCTGCAACGGCCTCCTCCTCTGCGTCAGCTTCACGGACACCGAGGAGGACGAGTTCGACGACCTCGACAGCTACCTCAGGTACAGGTGCAAATACCTCGTCGTTAATCCTGCTACCAAGGAGTGGGTCGCTGTGCCAGACTCATCGCAGAGTAGGATGCAGTCGGTTCGCCTGGGGTTCGACCCGACGTTCTCCTCCCACTTCTACATCTTTGAGTTTCAGTTGTTTGTGGATGATGAAGATGTGGCTTGTGCGGGTAGCCATGCCCAAGGGGTGGAGATATACTCATCTGAAACCGGAGTTTGGTGCCACAAGCAGACTGCCTGGAGCTCTAAGATTACACCACAGCCTGGTTTTAAGAGTGTGTTTGTCAATGGTGTGCTGTATGTGATAGCCACTGAGTGGGTAATTGGGGGAAACTTGGAGGATCATTAATTTTCCACCTTTGAAGGATCCACCGTGGCATGGTACTGGTTCTGGATTCATTGATCTCTCCCAGGGGAGATTGCATCTTGCAAATAATGATGATATGGCCAGTGGTAAGCTAGCAATCAGGGGAGACAGCAATGAATGGACCTTAAAGCACAGAGTCTCCTATAAGCATCTGGTCGGAATGGAGTATGTCTTCTTTGGATCTCATGAGTTTTTTATTGTTGCTATCCACCCAGACTGCAACATGGTATTCTTTGTTTTTGGTCATGATGAAAAAACACTAATGTCTTATGACATGGATAGCGGGAGTCTGCATGTCATCCGTAATTTTGATTACACTGCCTCCGAAAACTCTGAATGTTTTCTACCATATGTTCCCTTATTTTCAAAGTCATTGCCAGATGCTGCGGAACAGTAAGCTGATTTTCTCAGCCCGCTCAACCTCTGCTGATGTTTTGGAGCATGGTCTTCAATCGCTGCAACAGCTACTACTTGTATACATCTTTCTGATGTTGTACTTTTTTTTTTGGTTCATCCTTGAGTACTGCACTGCGAACATCTTTCTACATCGACTGCGGTCCACGACTTTAAGCAACGTACTATGTCGACTAATGCGAATGAAGCCTTCAATGCCCTCGACATGGGACCCTCCGCTGGGTACATTCTTATCTTTGTAATTGCCGCATTTTGCGTTCTTCAGATGTCGATCCAGATGTCATAACTACATGCTTTGTAGCGTTAAATCGATGATATATACATGCACATATATGTCTGCTCGTCCACGTATGTCTTTTTCCTGGTGATCGCTCTCGGAACCCGTTTTCTTTCCGGTGATTGCTTGCGGAACAGCAAGGCGCGTCTTCTTCCCGGTAACCGTTAGGTGGGATTGCATCTGCGAACATCTTCCTCATCATCGATCATGGGTCCACGACTTCGAGCAATGCGCTATGTCGACTAGTGCGAATGGAGCCTCCGATGTCCTCGGCATGGGACCCTCCGCTGGGTACATTCTTATCTTTGTAATTACCGCATTTTGCGTTCTTACTGTATCGATCTGTATGTCATGCCTGCATGCTGTAACGTTCGTTAGTGATATACATATGCACATATATGTCGTCACAAACCTGTTGATGTCATATTTCTGGATTAAACTGATCATGAAAATGCCTAATTATCTAACATGTAATACACGCCAATTGTATTCCACACCAAACATTTCAATGTAAAAAATATTGATCATTAATGCAGCATTACTAAATAACAAAATGAGGCATTTAAGTAGTTAGATAAATTTTGAACAAATAAGTCCCAGTGAAGATATACAAAAGAATCCTAACTCAATAAAGTAAAAGAGATAAAAAAAGGTACACCTGAAAGTCGAGCTATCACTGTTCCCCATGGGTCAATAATTATAGAATCACCATAGCTTTCTCTTTTTTCATTGTGCTTTCCAGCTTTTTTTATGAAAGAGAGACACACACACACATATATATTATAGTGCAGCCAAATTACAACGAGATCCTCAGAGAGGACCAAAATACATCAAGGCGGCGCTTAGCGACCGGAAGGACACGTACACAACTACACGGCATAGCAGAGGACACGTGTTTTCCACCGCGACAGACGACAGCAACGACGCCGAGAAGATTGCTGGCGGGGGTCTCCAGAGGCGGGACCGGCGCATGGAAATCGGATGGATTGATTTTGGAAAGCGACGGTTTGAAGTGGTTGAGGAAGCCAGCAAGGGTCGTTGTCTCGCCAAACCAAAGATGAAGTTGGAGCTATCGACGGAGGATAATAGAACAACTTCCTCAGAGGCGGCGGATGGCGACCTACAGGGCGTGTGGTGACGTGATCGACGAAGGCCTGATGACACTCGACACAGGGTTGCACGAGGGTAGCAAGTGGAGTTGGAGGAGTCGGATGAAGCGACCGGGGCGGGGAAGACCTGAGAGCTGGCACCGAAGACTAGATCCACCCAGTAGGAGACCCGATCCAAGCCCAACCATCAAATCGGCCACAGCCATCAAATCGGCCATGAACCTAGATGAACTGAGGGCGACAGCGATGGAGCACAAGCAGCCATGGGCGGAGAAGAACTACTTGAGAGAGCAGACCTATGTTATTTCTACTTACTTTGGAAGCGACGCCGTCGACGACGACGAAGACGCCGAGGAAGACCATGGCGATGGCGGCGGCGACATCAAGACAGGACTTTCCCCGAGGGGAGACACCCATCCGGGCAACCTACAAGTACTGGCTACTAACTACTAGATGGGTCCCCTCTCCTAGACCTCTCCAGCGAGCTCGCCGGAGGCGAGAGGGAGGGGGCCGGCTGGATCTCGCTGGGGTGCTAAAGGAGGAGGAAGACATGAAACCTTCACCGAACTTATCGAGATCATAAAAGTCCATGTTTGTGCTTCCTAGCTTGAGCAGCAGCAATAACCTACAAATGGCGGTTTCAAACACGGCGTCATGTTTTAAAAGGGATTAGTTATTCTTTCGTGCGCCTGGTTTGTTGGTTCTCCTCAGGCGACAAACCTAGACCGTTGGATGAGAAAGGAGTAGTCCAGGGTAGACTCACGATGTTCCTCTTTGTAGGGTTGAGATGGTGGATTAGAGAGGGGATGAATAGTCCTTTCTAAAATTATTCACACCGACTAACCAAAACAAATGCGGAATTAAAACTACCGGTCTAGCTAAGACTACACCCCTCTATCTAAGTTATCAAGCACCTTAAATGATCATAATTAGGCAACTAAGGTGCCCACCTAATCAATTTTAGGAGCAATGTCACACAAACCTATGCCACTAGTACTTCAAGCAACGGGGGAGCTCCTACACATGCTAGTAAGCAAAAGCACAAAGCCATCTAATTTCACTAGCAAAGCTCAATAATAAGGCTACACAAACCAAATTATAGAGTGCAAATTACTTAGCTAAACAAACTATGCAATGTGACTAACAAAGTTACTCAAACCGAATTAGTCATGCAAGGGAGCTACTTCTATGCTACACAAGCAAGAAGGTAACTAGCAAGCTATACAAGCTAACTAATTACAAGAGCAACTACACAAGCACAATGTATACGAAAGTAAATACAAGCTTATGTAAAGAGGATGCAAACCAACGGGAAGACAATGATGACACGGTGATTTTATCCCGAGGTTTACGTGCTTGCCAACACGCTAGTCCCCGTTGTGTCGACCACTCACTTGGTAGTTCGGCGGCTAATTGGTATCACCCACCAAGCCCGCATGTCGAGCACCGCAAGAACCTACCCTAAAAGTGAGGGTAGCTCAATGACACGCTCTACTAGAGTTGCTCTTCGCGATCCCCACGGGGTGAGCACAATGCCTGTCATAAATTCTTCTCCGGAGCACCGCACAATCTTCTCGCGTGCTTCAACGGAGTCACAAGCCACCAAGCCATCTAGGAGGTGGCAACCTCCAAGAGTAACAAGCACCACCAGCTTGCAACTCGATCACCTAGTGCCACTCGATGCAATCGCACTAGAATCGCTCACTCGATCGGATGAAAACTACCAAGCATGAGTGAGTTAGAGGGCTCCTAAGCACCACCACATAAGCCGCCAAGGCTCTAGTGTGCTCAGCAACCAACCCAAGGCCGAGCTCCACCTCTATTTATAGCCTCCAAGAGAGCCGTTGGAGCAAAGTTGCTGGTTTCTGCTAGGGCACTGGACACGGTGGTGCCCGCCCAATGGTCGAATTCCAACGGCTATTTCAACTAGCCATTGGTCACCGGACAGGGTGGCGGTGGCACCTCCCTAGGGGTGGCAGTGACCACCCAGCCAAACACCCAATAAACCACCTCTCTGGGAAAGAGTGGCGGTGCACCGCCCTAGGGACGGCGCTGTCCGACTTGACAACCCTGCTCTCTGCCGAAAAGTGGCGGTGCCACGATGGTGCACTGGACACCCCATGGCGGTGCCACCGCCCTGCACATGGCGGTGCACACCGGACATGGTGGTGCCCCAGTTCTTCTACGCGCTCTCAACCACGGCCAAACGGTCACCGCCACCGGGGTGACGGTGCGCCAGACAGGTAAGGGCGGTGCCCCTAGGGCAGCACCCCGAGCCCGGTTTTGCCTCCATTTCTTCACCTTTGCCAACACCTTTGCAAATGTGCTAACACCACCAAGTGTTTACCACCTTGTGCATGTGTGTTAGCTTTTCATAAATATTTCCCAAAAGATTAGTCACTCAATTCACCACGCCACTCGATCCTAGCAACGATGCAAAGTTAGATCACTCGAGTGGCACTAGATGACCGATATGCAAACAAGTTTGCTCCTCTTGATAGTACAACCATCTATCCTAAACCCAATCATAAACTTCTCTACACACCTATAACTGGTGAAATGAAATGCCCTATAGTTATACCTTTGCCTTGTGCATTCCATTCTATCTCCTCCGATGTTGGTGCAACACATGCACCAACACTATCAACAATGATACGATCCACTCCATATCATCACATGACCATATTGGTTCATCGATCTTGACCTCACTTGCTCTTCACCATTGCTTCGGTCCATCGGCGCTAAGTCATCACTCAACTTGCCCTTCACACTTGCAACCGGTCCGTCGAGCCAAGTCTTGTCTTATCTTCTCCACCTTGATCACATGACTCAATGTCATGTCTCATATGCAATGAGCTCCTTCATCACATTTGTGAGCCTTGCCAACAAATCCAAGCCATCTTCACCATCATGACATGAGTTGCTCACACAAGTGTACCTGTGGACTAATCACCTGTTGTCACGTTCATAAACCTAGGGTCCCCGATGGGCCCGCTTCCTAGCAAAAGCTCGGCCTAGCAGACGGCATTACAACAAACGCGTGACTCCTGGGCCGGCCCAGATACCTAACGACAAGCCAGAAGAGCGATCCAGTCTCCGACCGGAAGGCCTGACCAAGGAGGGGACAACACTCGCTTCTGACTCCGACCCGTTTTTTCGACCGGGAATACACCGAACCTCTGCGTACAGCTTTTCTCCGACCGGCGCGGTTGGAGCCGACTGGGAACGACCGACCGGGGATGCCCGCTCGGTGAGGACCCAAGAATTAGGCAGAGCAGATAAGATAAGGCGCTCAAATCAACCGCAATACCGAGGACCGTACCCTGCACACCTACAGGACAGTACCGCCAGGCCATGCCAGAAGGGTGCTTTGCAACCTTTCAGGCATGTCAGAACCTGAACAGTGTTGTGGGCACCGGCATTTATCTTACAGTGTTGTGGGCGCTGTCATTTGCCATACCAGGCGAACACGGTAAAGCCTGCCACACGCGTCTGACATAAATAGTATTGTGGGCACCAACAACCATCTTGTACCTGATAGTGTGGGTAACAAGACTTGGTAAAACATGAGCACACACTCTCTCTCTCTTGTAAGGCCATCCCCTTCACTTATAAAAGGGGATGCGCTCTCTCCCAACAAAGCACGGTCATTCCGACTCTCTCTGCTAGGCTTTAGACATTCTGAGCACTCGAACAACTCCACAGCTCTAGAACTCTAAAGCTACACATAGCATACGTTCCAATACTTAGCGCACGATTGGAGCTCCCGTCACTCTTGGCCCGTCGGTTCAGAGCTCGACCGGACCTTTAACACCCCCTTCTTATTCCCACTCGTTTGTAACCCCGCAGCAAACTTCGAGCACCTGGGCTCAGGAATAAAGTCACCGACCGACTGGAACTGGACGTAGGGCACGTTGCCTGAACCAGTATAAACCCTGTGTCATTGAGTGCTAGGCCACATCCGATCACAACGTACGACAAAACTACAAATATTTACTTGTTGGTCACTTTTCGCACCGACACCTGTGTATCTCACATCTAAACACATTAGTCCACCTAAGGTTGTCACTCAATTATCAAAACCAAACAAGGACCTTTCACTCTTCCTCCTTGCGAGTCACAACCGCACATCCGCACTAGCCCGCTCCCGCCAATAACCTCTTCCACCGCCCCGCCCAGCGGCTCCCCGCCGTCGCCAAACCGCCCACCAACCGCCGCCGCTGAGCTGATCTTGCCCTTCCCTAATCCCAATCCCACGAACTCGCTGTCGAGCCCTCACCCTCGCCATAGACACTGGCTATCCGTGTCCTACCTCACCCCCCTCGGTAGCTCCCCGCCGCCTCGCTCATCGCCAGCCAACCCGCTATCACCGCCTGTCCGGTTGCCCTGGGCCCCTCCTTTTTCTAGGGCCGCCAGAGATCTCTGAAAGCCTACCC